CTAGGTAGTGTAGCATGCTCCCTGAGAACAGGGAAACAGAGCCCAGTGGTCTCACTGGGCTGGGAAGACAGACTATGATTTAGGGAGGCCAAGGAAGCTGGAATTTACAGGGAAGAACAAAAGAAAGAAAGAAACTTTGCAGAGAGAGTTCCAGGGGTCTTTAGAGATAACCCTTCAGGTTTTAGCGGAGTTCTGATCTGTGCATATATGTGAAAGAACTACCCACGGCCAGGAAAAAACTACTGAAAGCATTAAGCCTCAAAATTCTGAGGGCTCATACATCGCTGGGAATAGGTCATGATCCTACTAGCCGGAGAAGAAAGACATTGTGGAGCGTCAGGCAGAATCCCGAGAAGGGCACTGCCCTACCAGTAGGGCTAACTTAGCCAGAGTCTGGCTGCTCCAGACCCAGTCTCATAAATCTTAAAAACAAGCCTTGAAGGAATCCAATGGATTTCTGGTAAATTAACTGTGTGTTAAAAGTAAATCCAACAGCTATTTAAAGTACTAAAACAAAATAAAGATTCCAACAATGTAAAACTGGCAAGATCAATCATCCAGTCAAAATTTACCAGGCATGCAAAAAGGGCATGAAATAAGGGGCCACAGCAAGGAGAAAAACTAGTCACTAGAAACAGACCCAGATGATAAGATCAGCAGCTAAGACTGTTAAGAAGCTATTACAAATATGCCTCATATTTTTAAGAAGGTAGAAGAGTATATGAATTTATAAGAAACAAAATATGAAAGCTATAAAAAAAGATCCAAATGGGACTTCCAGAAATAACAATATCTGAATTAAAAATACACTAAATGAGACTGAGAGCAGCTCATATACTACTTAAAAGATTAACAAACCTAAAGACACAAGAAGAAAAATTATTCAAAATTAAGCACAACATGAAAAAAGAACAGACCACACACTGATATTGACCTGTAGGGCAATATTAATGGTATAACAAATGTGCAACTGGAGAACCAGAAGTGGGAGGGAGGGAAGAGAGAAGGGGGGGGAGAGACAATGAGGGGGGAAAAGACAATGGGAGGGAGGAGGGAAGGGAGGGGGAGAGGGTGGGAGAGGGGGAGAGAGGGGGAGAGGGGAGAGAGAGGCAGGAGGGAGGGGAGGGATTATTAATAAAATAATGGCCAAAGTGGTTGGGACAAGGGAATCAATCAAAGATCTAGGTTTTCACCTTGAGAAACTAGAAAAGAAACAGCAAATCAAACCAAAAGGAAGGAAATAGTAAAGAACAGAAATCAATTAAACAGGAAACAGAAAAGTAGAAAAGCAACAAAAAATGAAACCAGAACACACTTCTTTGAAAAGATAAACCTCTCGCCAGTCTGATCAGGAAAAATTTAAATAACATAATATAAACAAATTTATACTAATAATAAATATGACAATTTGGATGAAATACATAAATCCCTTGAAAGAAATAAACGATCAAAGCTCAGTCAAAAAGAAGTAACATGAATAGAACTGTATCTGTTAAAGAAATTAAATTCATAGTTATGTAAATCTTACCAAGATAACTAGGCTCTGATGGTGTCACCAGAAAATTCCATACTTAAGACAAAAAAGTAATTCTATACAAAGTCTTATAGAAAATAAAAGGAGGAACACATGCAATGCATTTTCTGAGGCTGGCATTACCATAAAATCAAAACCAAAACGATTACAAGAAAGCAAAAACTACAGACCAATCTTCCTAAACACAGAAAGAAAAAGTCCTGAGCAAGTTGAATCTAGCCATGTAGAACACCATGACAAAGTAGAATTTATCCCAGGAATGTAGTTATTTCAACATTCAAAAATCAATATAATTCACTGGATTAACAAGATGATTAATCATGATTTATTAACATCATGATTAAAAACTCTCGGCAAAGGAACGCTAGAAGGCATCTTCCTCAGCCTGAAAAAGAGCATCCATGACACCAACAAACAGCTCACGTCATACTAATGGAGAATGTGTGAGTGCCTCTCCCTAATATCAGGAAAGCAAGGATGTTTGCTCTCACCACCTCTATTCAATATTGTGCTTGAGTTTCTAACCAGTGCAATAAGGCTAGAAAAACAAGAGATATAGATTGGAAACTTAGAAGTAAAACTGTCTTTATTCACAATTTGATTCTCTATGTAGAAAATTCTACAAAATCTAATCCTAAGATATCTAAAGGAAAAAAAAGCTACTAGAACTAAGTGTGTTTAAAAAGGTTATAGGAAGCAAGGTCAGAATACAAAAATAAATTGTATTTCTAGGTAGTAGCAATAGGCAATTATAAATTTTTTATTTTTATTTTTTGTTTTATTTATTTTTGAGAGCAAGAGAGACAGAGCACAAGAGGGGGAGGGGCAGAGATAGAGGGAGACAGAGAATCTGAAGCAGGCTCCAGACTCTGAGCTGTCAACAAAGAGCCTGATGCAGGGCTTGAACTCACAGACTGTGAGATCATGACCTAAGGCAAAGTCAGATGCTTAACCGACTGAGCCACTCAGGCATCCCAACAATTAGAAATTTTAAAATAAATACACTATCATCAAAAACATGACCTACTTAAGCACAAGTTTACAAAACATGTGCAGGACCTATACACTGAAAACTATAAATGCTGCTGCAAATTAAAGATCTAAATAAATGGTGTGATCTAAAATGTTCATGGATTGGAAGATTCAGTATTGCCAGGATGTTACTTCTTCCAAATTGACCTAAAGATTCAATGTGATCCCTATCAAAATCCTATTGAGTTTTTTCACAGAAATGAACATACTGATCTTAAATGTATGTGAAAATATGAAGGGATAGAATAACCAAAATAATTTTGTAAGAAAAGGAAAAAACAAAGTTGAATTTGCACTACCTGATTTCAAGACTTAATATAAAGACACAGTGATAAAGACACTATGATACTGGTGTAAGTATAGACATGATTTCATGCATATGAAATTTAAGAAAACAAATGAACAAAGAAAAAAAGAAACAAAAAAACAGACTCTTAAGTTATAGACAACAAACTGGTGGTTGCCAGAAAGGTGGGCAGGCAATGGATGAAACAGGTGAAGGGAATTAAGAGTATAGATGTATAATGTATAGAATTGTTCAATCATTATATTGCATACCTGAAACTAATCATTCTGTGTATTAATTATACTTGAATAAAAAATTCTTAAAAAGAGAATCCAGAATTGACCCACACATACACGGTCAACTGAATTTCAACATGCTAAAGTAACTAAATGTAACACAATAAGTGGGAATAATTGGATATCAACATGGAAAAACATTAACCTCACTCCTAATGCCTCGCATCATATAGAAGAATTAGCTCAAAATGGATCATAGGCCTAAATGGAAGCTAAAACTACAACACTTCTAGAAGAAAAACAAAGAAATTAGACAAACCTTCAGTTAGGCAAAGATCATAAAAGAAAAATGATAAACTGAACTTCATCAAAACAAAACTTCTACTCTTTGAAAGATGCCACTAAGAAAATAAAAGACAAAACCACAGTTTAGGAAAAAATATTTGTAAAATAGATAACTGATAATAAACTTATATCCAGAATATATAAAGAACTCTTGCAACTCTTGCAATAAAACCTAATCAACCAATGAAAAAAAACTGGCCAACAATGTGAGCAGACACTTCACTAACGATATTCAGATGGCAAATAAGCACATTAAAAGATGTTCATCATCATCGTTAGTCACTGGGGAGATGCAAATTAAAATCACAAATGGGATGCTATTATTCATTCAGTAGAATGGCTAAAATTAAAGAGACTGACCATACCAAGTGTTAACAAGGATGTGGAGTAACTACAATACTCATACATTGCTGTCAGAAGGCAAAATGACAGTCACTTTGGTTTTTTTTTTTTTTTATTTTTTTTTTTTTTTTTTTTTTTTTTTAATTTTTTTTTTTAATGTTTTATTTATTTCTAGGAGAGAGAGAGAGACAGCGTCAACAGGGGAGGGTCAGAGAGAGAGGGAGTCACAGACTGAAACAGGCTCCAGGCTCTGAGCTGGCAGTCAGCACAGAGCCCGACGCGGGGCTCGAACCCACGAACCGCGAGATCATGACCTAAGCGAAAGTCGGACGCTTAACCGACTAAGCCACCCAGGCGCCCCAACAGTCACTTTGGAAAGTAAGGTTGACAGTTTCCAAAAGTGTTCAGTACACACTTAACTTTTTTACAAAAACCCAGAAACCTCATTCCTGGGTATATACTTAAAAGGAATAAAAACATGTCCATAGATTTGTATTCAAAAATTCATAGCAGCGTGATTAATAATATCTCAAAGCTGGAAACAACCCAAATGTTCCTAAACTAATGACTGGAGAAACCAACAATGGTAGATCAATGTAACAGACTACTACTCAGCAATTTAAAATAAGTACTGATACTCTCAGCACATAATCTCAAAAGCATTATGCTAAATCAAAGAAGCCAGAAACAAAGGAGCACATGCATTATGGTACATTTATATAGAAAAGGTAAAACTGTAGAGACAGAAAGTGCTTAGGTTGTTGCTAGGGCAGAAGAAGGAATTAGTGGCAAAGGGGGAGGGAACTTTCTGAGGGGATGTTAACGTTCTGTTATCATGATTGTGGTATACTTATACCACTGTACACATTTGTCAAAACTCCTCCAACCACACACTTAAAACTGGTGAATTTGATTGTATTTACATTATATGTTTTCTTAGGTTTTTATTTATTATTAATTTTAAGAGAGACAAAGAGTACAAGTGGGGTAGGGGCAGAGAGAGACAGGGAAAGAGAATCCTAAGCAGGCCTCACACTGTCTGCACAGAGCCCGATGCTAGGACTCAAACCCACATAACCGTGATTTCATGACCTAAGCCGAAACAAAGAGTTGGACATTTAACCGAATGAGCCACTCAAGCACCCTTACATCATATTTTTTAAAAATTTCTAAGAGCTCTTTTCTGGGCTGACAGCTAACCAAGAAATGACAAGACATTGTTTACCTTCCCAGTCTTCCATGTAAGGGGCCTCCTCAGCTTCTTTCTCTGGAGTGGGTCTGTCAGTGAATTTTCCTTCTTTCATGACCCTGGTGATTTCTCGGAGCTGATGCAGCAAACGCTTTTCTTGGTCAGAAGTCACAGTCTGTGTTCTGCTTAGAAATATCAGACACCCCAGCCATTAAAAGGTAAATATTGCTGGGCAATGAACATAGACAATACTATGATCTGTCTGGATCCTAGAATAGGAAGTCCAACAGCAGCAGATAAGTATTCTAGGAATTGATCTTGGGACCGCATAGCTGGTGACTAGATATGTTAGTTCAATGTTCTGATTTTATAAATGCAGAAACTAAGGCCCAGAAAAGATCAAGTGTTTGCTCAAGGTCTCACAATGAATTATGGTCAGTACTGGGACAAGACCCCAGATGTTTCAGCTTTCAGGTTCAGTTCAATCTCTAAGAAATTTCACCATTACTCTTATTACCCATTTACTACAAGCCACTTCTCTCTGAAGCAAAGTCATTAAAAGAAAATGTGCTAGCCCATTAGCCTCAACTAGGGAAAATATGCTACTAGGCCAGCCCTGGAATCACCAGGTTACATCTATTTGTGCAGAAATAAATATGTATCCTAACAATTCAGAGCTAGATCATTCTGAATAAATCTTTTAGACCAGAGAAACTGCAGCCCACAGAGGGGAAATTCCACATTTTATTACTGCTGTTAGTTAACGTCAGCATTTGAACTACAACTAAAGTCCCCTGACTTCTGATAGCATTCTATATATATTTTTTTTAATTTAGAGGGAGAAAGAGAAGGGAGAGAAAGGAGGGAGAGGGAGAGAGAGAGAGAAAGGAGGGAGAGAGAGAGAGAAAGGAGGGAGAGAGAGAAAAAGGGGGGAGAGAGAGAGTGGGAAAGGCGGGAGAGAGAGGAAGAGAGAGAATCCCAAGCAGGCTCCATGCTGTCAGCACAGAGCCTGATGCAGGGCTCAAACTCATGAACTGTGAGATCATGAGCTGAGCTGAAACCAAGAGTTGGACATCAACCAACTGAGCCACCCAGGAGCCCCTCTATGCAATTCTTAGAGCACAGTGCTCAAGTTTCAGTTTAGAAAACCTGGATTTGTGTCCCAATTTAACTGGATAGTTCTAGGCACATGTCTGTAAAAATAAGAAGAGGCTCAAGGATAAAGGCAGGACTACTTCCTTTGAGACTTCTTTGCACTGCGTCACACTCACAGGCAGACAAGGCCCTACTTGGAAGATGGAGAACTGGTTTGGGACCAGTTTTGTCTAGTAGCAGGATTTACCAGAAGCTACTTATTCTCTTCCTAAAGATCCAAAACATTCAGAGCCACGTAACACTCTTGAAGGAAAAAATGACATTCAATACTGGCCTTGTGGAGGTGCCCTCAATTTTTCTAACCAGCTTGTCGGGAGCCTGTGTTTGTATGCTTAGCCTAACACACTTAAACCTTAATGACTAACTGGGGGGAAAAAGTGTTTCTCCCTCCAACATTAAGATGGTAACTGAAGGTGCAACATTTCCACAGACCTCAGTGGGAGGAAACCCAAACCATCATGAGCTCTACTTTTTCCATACTTAATGGCCTCAAAGCCATGATCTGAAGACGCCTGTCTGTTCCATGTTCAGCTAAAATCTTACATTTATTAGGCCTCTTACAGCTCTATTTTTCCTATCAGTACAGGAGTCCTGACTTGTCACAACTGCTCATCAGCTCTACATAACTCCTAATGCTTACAACAACCCACTCTGTGGGGGGTATCTGGGGCAACTAGGGCACCCCTAGCTAAAAGAGCCTATGTGCTTGTATTCAAAATATACAAAGACCCAAACCCAACATTACCCATCAACACCCAAAAAAACATTATTTGTTTGCAGTTTAAAAAAATGGGCAGAAAACATGAACATTTTCCCAAAGAAGATGTACAGATGGCTAACAGACACATGAAAAGATGCTCAACATCACTCATTGTAAGAAAAATACAAATCAAAACTACAATGAGATACCATCTCACACCTGGCAGAATGGCTCAAACTAAATACACAGAAAACAAAAGATGTTAGTAAGGATCCACAGAAAGGAGAACACTCGCACTCTTTGTAGGAATGCAGACTGGTGCAGTCACTCTGGAGAACAGTATGGAGGGTCCTCAAAAAGTTAAAAATAGAACTACCCTAGGATCAAGCAATTGTACTACTGGGTATTTACCCACATGATACACAAATACTGATTCGAAGGGGGCACAGGCACCCTGATGTTTATAGCAGCAGTATCAACAATAACCAAATTAAGGAAAGAGCCCAAATGTCCATCAACTGACGAATAAAGAAGATGTGGTATATGGATATAATGGAATATTATTCAGCCATAAAAAAACAAACTCTTGGGTTTATAACAACATGGGTGAAGCTAGAGAATATTATGCTAAGCAAAGTAAGTCAGAGAAAGACAAATACCATATGATTTCACTCACATGTGGAATTTAAGAAAAAGATGAACATGGCAAGGCGCAGGGAGGCAAACCATAAAAACAGATTCTTAACTATAGGGAACAGAGTTGCTGGAGGGGAGATGAATTGGAGGATGGGCTAAATGGGTGATGGGTACTAAGGAGGGCACTTAGGATGAACACTGGGTATTCTATGTAAGTGATGAATCACTAAGTCTTACACCTGAAACTAATACTACACTGTATGTTAACTAACTGGAATTTAAATAAAAACTTGAAAGAAAAAAAAAAAGCCTATGCGCTTATCACAAAGCTCTTGCCCTTGCACACGTTACTTCTCTGGACTGTCATCAAGGCATTTTGGTTTTTACTGAAACAGTCTTGCCTTTGTTTCCTAACTGATGGAAAACCAGAACCCCTAATTTTAAAAGGAATGGCTAGGCTAGAAGCAGAAACAGGCAAGTGAAGCTTTCTCAAAATTCTAAGTTAAAGTGTCCTCTTTTACCTCTCCACAAATATATTCCTATTGTCCATATCATGCATGAGGCAATTAATCACGGCCCACCTCATATCTTCTGAATTTATGTAATGAATGTTTTCACAGATTCCTCATTGTCTCAATTTGGTTTGATAGTCATGGAAGACACTGATAAGTTCAGGATGGTACAGGCACAGTACCATGAACATCACAAGTGCTCAATAAATATGTGTTAGTTTATTGGTCCCCATTTCCTTGCCATGCATTTTCTCCCATCTTCTGGAAATCTGGCTTCCATGTCACCATTTTACCACAACTTGTGAAAATCATCAGCGATACTTTACTTTCTGAAGCCTAAGAATGTTTTTTTCACAACTCCTTCTTGACTTCTCTGTACTGTGAGCTATCCTTTCCTTGAAATGTTCTCTTCCCTTGGCTATTGAGACATTCATATTCTTCCCACTTCTTTTAACCATTCCTTGCATCTCTGATCCTGGCTCACTTTCCCCCATCTGCCTCCTAAACACATGGTTTTCCTGAAGGCTTGATGCTTGGGCTCTCACTTCTCCATTCTTACAGTCATGCCTTCAGGAATTACAGTATTAAAATCAAACCACTACCTCTACATAGATAATGCCCAAACTCTACCTCTAATCTTGACTTTTCACACGAAAACCAGTACAATGTAGGCATTTCCACTGAGAAACCTCGTCGTTAATGAAGTTAACCTTAAATTCACTCTTCCAGGTGCTAGATGGCCCAGGATAAGTAATAGCTGCATGAGCAGCCAGGTTTGGAGAAGTTGGGGACGGCAGATTCCAAGATGCAAGAAAAACAGAAGCCCAAGTTGGAAGATAACTCATCAGACTTTTAAGTTTTATAAACTCAGAGGAATCATCAAGTTCTGAATCCAAAAGTAAAACACGGAAAGAATGAAACGGTTTCTTCTAAACACCATTCATACCTAGAACAGAGTTCAGATCATCAAAAGATTCCAGGTTACCGCCACACAGTATGATACACCTTGTGAATTTGATCTCATCTTTCCCCATGGCCTTTCTCTGATCTCCAACCAAATGATTTCCAAACTTGTGTCTTTGCTCCTAACTTCAATACCCAAGCTTCCTATTGTTGTTGTAGATCATACATAAGATGTTCTGATGGTACCTCAACCATATTCAAAGCTGGACTCATGATCTCTATCCCAAAGTCTCATCTTTATTCTCGTCTTGTGTTTTTATCTTGGTTGATAGCATAATCTTCCTTCTAGTTTGGGCTATAAATCCCCCCAACTCATCTTTAGTTCTTTCTTCTTCTTCACTGCTCTTACCTTTTCCTTAGTTTTCCTTTTGGGGAATTAACTCCTTTTCTGCTCATAATGCAAAGGTTACAGTGAGCCTATCCATCCCCTCACCTCTCCCCTTCAAGGGTGACCACATGGTCCACAGCCAATCATCACACTACATCCTTTGGTTGTAGACTGATTCAGTGATATATACAGGACCCAAGTTGGGGCAACTGTACTTTCTCCTAAAACTGGATCTTGAATGCAACAAAGCCAGACCTGAAAACTTTTCATGTTAATTCATTCTGGCAGCAGTCTTTGAAGAGACTGTCCATTTGTTCCTTCCTCTAAATCCTCAGAGCTGCTCTGGTTCCCACGCTTTCTAAAATCTGGATCTTCAGCTATTCTTTTGATTTTGTGACCTACCTCATACTTTTCCAAAAAATTCTGTCACCTTCTCCAAGTTTTTGCTATCAAGGAAACCCTGGAAACAGCCTGTGAATTTTTTAAAGTTTTTATTTATTCATTTATTTATGTAATCTCTATACCCAACATGGAGCTTGAACTCCAGCCATGAGATCAAGAATCACAGGCTCTTCTGACTGAACCAGCCAGGTACTCCCAATCTAGGATTTTTTCCCCTCCTCCATCAAGTCCCCTTAATTTGGACCCTCATTTCCACTCTCACCGCCCTGTTTATTACCTTTTGCTAGGACTTTTTCAGTAACCTAGCATGTGGTCACTCTATATATCCCCAAAAGAATTACTTTTCTAAAGCACAGCAGAACATGACACTTGTCCTTGAAAGCCTTCAGAGGCATTCTAATATAAAGACAATGAATTGCAAACTTCTCAGCCTACCATTCAGGGCCTTCTCGTCTGGGCCCAGTTTACTTTTCTACTCTTCTCCCC